TTCCAAAATAAAAGTCTAGAGTTGTTTTTGAACTTCATTCAATAACGACATTATACCAGTAGATGACGTAGTATAGGCTTGGGCCTTCATTAAATGACTTCTGTGAGAATGATAAAGACACAGAAGAGCCTTGTCTAGAATAACCGCCTGAGTTGCAAAATAGAAAGTAAATATGATTTAGGCTAGGCCTATTCCTACATCTAAATATGCCATGCTGTTGTGTGTTATTTAATGGCCATGTGGGGCTATTGTGGGGATCATGTAACCTAACGAATCACACTTTTTCCAGTATTTGGGAACACGGACTGTAGGTCTTATATTAGGCATTTTGACTGTTGTATTAGTGAATTCCACTCTGCATGTAGGCTTGTTATAGCCATTTGCATTGCACAATCCCATCACGCAGAGGCTACAATGCCTTGCAAAAGTATTCATGCCCCTTGGCGTTTTTCCTGTTTTGTTGCATTATAACCTGTAATTTAAATGGATTTTTTATTTGGATTTCATGTAATGGACATACACAAAATAGTCCAAATTGGTGAAGTGAAATTAAAAAAATAACTTGTTTCATAAAATTCTAAAAAATAAATAACGGAAAAGTGGTGCGTGCATATGTATTCACCCCCTTTGCTATGAAGCCCCTAAATAAGATCTGGTGCAACCAATTACCTTCAGAAGTCACATAATTAGTTAAATAAAGTCCACCTGTGTGCAATCTAAGTGTCACATGATCTCAGTATATATATACACCTGTTCTGAAAGGTCCCAGAGTCTGCAACACCACTAAGCAAGAGGCACCACCAAGCAAGCGGCACCATGAAGACCAAGGAGCTCTCCAAACAGGTCAGGGACAAAGTTGTTGAGAAGTACAGATCAGGATTGGTTTATAAAAAAATATCAGAAACTTTGAACATCCCACGGAGCACCATTAAATCCATTATTAAAAAATTTAAAGAATATGGAACCACATTAAACCTGCCAAGAGAGGGACGCCCACCAAAACTCACGGACCAGGCAAAGAGGGCATTAATCAGAGAGGCAACAAAGAGACCAAAGATAACCCTGAAGGAGCTGCAAAGCTCCACAGCGGAGATTGGCATTTCTGTCCATAGGACCATTTCAAGCCGTACACTCCACAGAGCTGGGCGTTACGGAAGAGTGGCCAGAAAAAAGCCATTGCTTAAAGAAAAAAATAAGCAAACAAAAGGCTCGCCAAAAGGCATGTGGGAGACTCCCTAAACATATGGAAGAAGGTACTCTGGTCAGATGAGACTAAAATTGAGCTTTTTGGCCATCAAGGAAAATGTTATGTCTGGTGCAAACCCAACACCTCTCATCACCCCGAGAACACCATCCCCACAGTGAAGCATGGTGGTGGCAGCATCATGCTGTGGGGATGTTTTTCATCGGCAGGGACTGGGAAACTGGTCAGAATTGAAGGAATGATGGATGGCACTAAATACAGGGAAATTCTTGAGGGAAACCTGTTTCAGTCTTCAAGAGATTTGAGACTGGGACGGAGGTTCACCTTCCAGCAGGACAATGACCCTAAGCATACTGCTAAAGCAACACTCGAGTGGTTTAAGGGGAAATATTTAAATGTCTTGGAATGGCCTAGTCAAAGCCAATTGAGAATCTGTGGCATGACTTAAAGATTGCTGTACCCCAGCGGAACCCATCCAACTTGAAGGAGCTGGAGCAGTTTTGCCTTGAAGAATGGGCAAAAATCCCAGTAGCTAGATGTGCCAAGCTTATAGAGACATACCCCAAGAGACTTGCAGCTGTAATTGCTGCAAAAGGTGGCTCTACAAGGTATTGACTTTGGGGGGGGGGGGGGTGAATAGTTATGCACGCTCAAGTTTTCTGTTTTTTTGTCTTATTTCTTGTTTGTTTCACAATATAAAATATTTTGCATCTTCAAAGTGGTAGGCATGTTGTGTAAATCAAATGATACAACCCCCCCAAAAAAACCATTTTAATTCCAGGTTGTAAGGCAACAAAATAGGAAAAATGCCAAGGGGGGTGAATACTTTCGCAAGCCACTGTATATCCATATCAATAAATGAGACAAAACAAAATATTGATTAAGTCTTGGCTATAACCTGTCCTGAGCAAAATAGCCAAGGGGACCCAAATGGTCAAGACTATCTATGGCCTATTCTTATTGGCAGATCTGTTTTCCCTATCAGCCACTGCATATGCTTCTTCAACTATTTTGTTGAACATTTATTTTAAATTCATATAAATCATGTCAAATGATTTTAAATTCATATTAACCCCTCCTACAGAATATGCTTAGGATTTCTTTTGGTGATGAAATAAATATCAAAATATTCTATAAAAAAAATATTTTGAGTGGCAAAGACTCCAGTGGTCATACATCATTCATAGATTCCCCAAACATCCATTGTTATTATATATTTTATTATTCCTGGTATATACTACTGATTATGATTGCAGACAGAGCCCAGAGAATGGGATGGTGCTATATTGAATTAGTCATATTTTGATAAGGTGCATGCATGGGGATGTCCACATCACCCAGAGATATGCCCGTGCTGTACAGATACACCTTGCGGACTGAAACATCACTGTTGTAGGCATAATACAGCTAGTGCTATCTAGACTCGCGCTGACAAACAAATCCATTACATTAGCTACCTAAATGTGAAGTAAACTCAACTGAGGAGTAATAGAGAATGGAAACTTGAAAACGTGCAGGATACCTCTTTCCGGTTTCCCTGACTTCTGTATATTTTATACTGCGTTATGCTTGTTCGTGTAGCACTCCTCACAGGTCGTTTGGAGTATGTTTTTTTTGTTGGTGAGATGAAACTGCCAAAACTCTGAAAGGTATTATTGTATGTCAGAATTGCAAGACAAGATCTGTTAGTCCGTAATCGTATGTAATGGTGTTTGTATGTTCACGCAAGGCTTTTCTTACGTCCCTAACAATTTACATATGGATTTTCTTACGATCCTAACGATACGTACCTTCAACCTTTTGGCAGGTATCTGGCTCCATAATGGTGAACTATGATTGGCTGGTAAAAGTGAAGTGACTAGGAGGTACCAATACGATGAGAAATAAGGGGTGTTGGGCAAATACAACAAACTACTAGAAAAGGGGTGCTGAAACTGCTTAATCAGAGCTGGCCACTGTGGGTAGGAGGTAATGCAATGTTACTAAATCCCAAAGGGAAGAGAGACTTCTGAAAGGATAATAAAACATTATAAGGCAAGTCTGACCATGCATTATAGCTGCATTATACCTGCAGGCTATAAGTAAAGTGTAACCAAACTTTAATCTCATCTTATTGTTAGCGTGGTGTTACATGAAACGTAATCAATATATTTAAGTACATTCATATTTTTTATACACAATGAGCTGAAAACTTAGTTAAGATGGATGACTGTGACTGTAGTCAAGCTAAGAACCCAGCACTAGAACTGAAGCTGTAATCATCACCATGGCTTTCATGTTGTGTGGAGCACTGTGAGAGCCAGAATATGCAGTAAATCATCACACATGGTATTTAACGTTTTACCAGGCATTTCAAATCCTCTTACTGGATGGGGATTGTGTCGTTTAAAAGAAAATATATACTGCTCATATAAAAGTCAGAAAAATTACTGATACACAAAACCCTGACCAATGCACCGCCCACAACTTTGCCTATTTGGGATAATATTATTATGATCAGTTTCTCTTAGCCAAACTAGTCATGAAATAGTATGTTACTCTACTATGTATGCATAAGCCTCATCCACAAACAGGCTATTTTCCAATGAGTTATATAGTATTTGCATGAAAAGCTCCACATCTATGAGTATATGAGCTATTTTCTCAATATGTACCAGCTTTTAAAGAAGGGCTCTGAAACTGAATACACAACCTATAAGCACTTTGTGACAAGGGCTGTAAAAAGGGCTTTAAAAAAAATAAATTTGATTCGATTTTGATTCAAGGGCACATGTCAATCAGCGAGGGCCCTCTGATGCCTATGTCCAACTCTTATTATGCTTGCAATGTTAGCCAGAACATACAGAACCATATACATAATACATCAATATCATACATAAATTATCAAAAATATAAGTAATATATAGTAAAAGTAAGATGTTTATGTTGAGGGGCCACATACGGTCCCTGGTGTGCTGGTCTGTAAACTATTCATGCATATAGTGCAAAATTAGCTGGGGGATACTTTAGTATTGCTTGCAGTAAAAACAGTAAAACAGTGCCCTTATCACTGTGCAGGAACTCATCAACACAGAATAATTGCCTTAAAGGGATACTAGTCATAGATGTTTTTTTAAATACTCTTCTCAACAGTTGATAACACTCAGTTATCGGTGGTGAGAATGAATGTCATTGCAAAATATAAAATATGTCAAAAATAAAGTACGTGTATGAAGCGTTGAGCTAGACCTGAACAATGGTGAATAATGTATTTTCCTTGGTCATCTGTTGTCATGTCACAGTCTTGGTTCAATGTTACAGAAATTTTACAATATGATCCACACTGCCATCATGTGGTCAAGTATTGAACTGCATTAACATCGAACCTCAGGACATCTATGAACAAGGCAAAACTGAAAACAAACAGCTGATCAGTAACAATCATGTAACAATATAACTATGTAAAATGTTGTTACGTAACTATGTAACAATGTAACAATACATGGGGGGAAGGGGTTCAAATTCATCTGACAAAACATGGGAGCACTGTCTCACAGAAGAAAACCATCAAAATAAATACACAAACTCAAATGCAGTCCCTGATTTAAATAGGTTTAGATGCTAGGTGACCTTTCTCAAACAACCACAACATTTGGAAGAGGGCTTATACATGCTGGAATTGCTGAATTTAAACTTAGAATGGAAAATGCAATTCACATCTTCCATTAATTAAATAAAAGCAAATCAGCACCTATTCATCAAATGACAGTCCATTAGGCTGCAGTGTGATTGAGACTGCAGTGGTTCCTATCTCTCCTCATGCCCAGTCTTTAACAGTGGTGGCAGTGACTCGAGGGCTCCGCCCCCCCACCACCTGATCCAGGGACCACAACATGGCCGGGAGGCTGCTTCTGATGGGAATCAGCTCAGGCAGACGGGAAACCCAGGACGGCTTGTTCTCCCCAGTCCCACATACTGGGTCCCCAATTCCCACTCCTGGCACCAGCTCAATGGTATCCAGATCGAGGCCAGTGGAGAGCGGAGTGTAGCCCACAGTCGAGCCCCTTGGCTGGGTACCACCTCGGAGCACGTGCCTCTGTAGCTGGACACCATGGTGGAGACTCTTCCTCCGGGTCTTGCTGGGTAAAGCCTGGTGGGTGTGGGCAGTCAGGGGTGTGATGGTGGCTCGGCGTGCCATGCTGTGATGGTCCTGGTTGGGCCGGAGGAGGGCGGTGAGCCCCCCTGTTCTCTCCTTGGAGCGGTGTGAGGGCTGAGGCTCCAGGACCTCCACCTCGGGCCAAACGTGTTGTTGCGGTAGTCTAGCGGGGTCCAGTCTCCTAGGGACTGGGACCTCTCGTGGTCTACGCCCCCGAAGTTGGGGTACAGAGAGGTGCTGGAACTGCTGGGTTGGTCCACTAGGGGTGAACAAGGGTTTGTAGGTCTTCAGAGGTGGTGGTAGGGCCTTGTGTGTGCATGGTTGGGTCTGGGACTGTTTCCTCCTCCAGGCTTTATAGGTGGCTACAGTGAGGAAAGGTGAGGGTTGGACTTCCTCTGGTCCTATCTTCTCTGCCTTTTCTGGCTTCTCAGGTTCAGTTGAATCCACTATTATTTGTTGTGGTAGGACTGTTCTCTCTCTGTCTGGAGGCTCTGGCTTTGTAGGTGACTGGAACTTGCTGTCCTGTCTACTGGGAGGCTGGGGCTTGCTGTCCTGTCTACTGGGAGACTGGGGCTTGCTGTCCTGTCTGCTGGGAAACTGGGGCTTGCTCTCCTGTCTACTGGGAGACTGGGGCCTGCATTCCTGTCTACTGGGAGACTGGGGCTTGCTGTCCTGTCTACTGGAAGACTGGGGCTTGCTCTGGGTATCTGAGTCCCATGGATCAGCTGACTCTGCCAGGTGAAAATCCAGCAACTTCTGCAGAGACACAAAAACACATCAGGTATTAGTGTGTATCATCATGTATCATGCGTGTGATGTAGCAAGCATGCTTGTGACATACAGTACCAGTCAAAAGTTTGGACACACCTACACATTCCAGGGTTTTTCTTTATTTGTACTATTTTCTACATTGTAGAATAATCGTGAAGACATCAAAACTATGAAATAACACATATGGAATCATCTAGTAACCAAAAAATTGTGCAAAGCTGTCATCAAGGCAAAGGGTAGCTATTTGAATAATCTCAAATATAAAATATATTTTGATTTGTTTAACACTTTTTGGGATAGTATATGATTCCATATGTGTTATTTCATAGTTTTGATGTCTTCACTATTATTCTACAATGTAGAAAATAGTAAAAAGTAAAGAAAAACCCTGGAATGAGTAGGTGTGTCCAAACTTTTGACTGGTACTTTACATATGTGTGTTTATGCATCAATTGTTACCTGCAAAAGGGGTGTGTGTGAGCTCACACTGGTGTACCGGACAGGAACACAGCCCTCGGCCCATGAGTCGCTCTTACAGGGTTCAGGCTCTGTGTCCTCCCCCCACAAGGGGGCACTCTCTGGCCCCTCACCCTCATCCCTTGCCAGGAACAGCCAGTCAGCCATCTGCACCAGGCTTTCATAGGCCCAGGACGCTGTGAACGGCACCAGCTGGACAGAGACTCAGAGAGAGAGACAGAGACAGAAGGAGAGAGAGAGAATCATTTGTTTGAGATGTCAGGCACATGTAAGTGGGTGTTTCGACTGGTTAGGGGCATAGAAAGGTCCTTCCAAATGACACCCTATTCCCTAAATTATAAAAAATAAAAAATAAAAAAATTGAAAATAGACTGTTAAATCACCAGGAATTTAGCAAAAAATATATTCCCACAAATAAAAAAAGAAACATACAGGTTACTGCCTAGATAATGGAAACACTTGAGGAAATGAGGAATACGAAGTATATTGAAAGTGGGTGCTTCCACACAGGTGTGGTTCCTGAGTTAATTAAGCAGTTAACATCCCATCATGCTTAGGATCATGTATACAAATTCTGGGTAGGCCATTATTTGGGACATTATTTTCGCTACCATGGCTTGCCCCCATAGGATGACCATGCCCCCATCCAAAGGGAACGAGTGGTCACTGAATGGTTTGATGAGCATGAAAACGATGTAAACCATATCCCATGGCTGTCTCCATCACCAGATCTCAACCCAATTGAACTCTTATGGGAGATTCTGGAGCAGTGCCTGAGACAGCGCTCTTTCCACCACCATCAACAAAACACCAGATTATGGAATTTCTTGTGGAAGAATGGTGTCGCACCCCTCCAATAGAGTTCCAGACACTTGTAGAATCTATGCCAAGGAGCATTGAAGCTGTTCTGGCTCGTGGTGGCCCAACACCCTATTAAGACACTTTATGTTGGTGTTTCCTTTATTTTGGCAGTTCCCTTTAGGTGATCATGTCTCAATGTAATCAAGGTATAAAATTATTGTTATTTTCAAATACTGTACAATCTCTTTTTGGGCTTAGTTCTAGTCAATTTGCAGTGTAGAAATTATTACAATTATGTTCCGGCTCCGACAAAAATCGTACCGCGGCTTAATCTAGTTGCCTACACCTGCCCTCAATAGTGCACCACTGTCTGTGACAGCTACACACCTGTTTTTGCAGGTACACCTGATAGCACCTGTCCGTCACTGCAGCCTCCAGCTCTCCCATGATCTCCGCCACCACCTCCTCCCCATTGTCCTGTGTTGTCATGGTGACCCAAGCGGCTTCCGTGAGGCGACCTGGGACGATGTCCACCGTCTCCACATTCTGGACCGAGGGAGGGCGAGGAAGAGCGGGTGCCGGAACCAAGATGGCAGCACGACTCTTATCGCGAGATTTGGCCGCTGAGCGTGACATGATACCGAGGAGATATTTTCTGCAGATGAATATTGATATTTATCAATTTGATACATACCGGTAGGTAATTCACTGAAGGATCTGAATTATTTATCACGAATTTGACAGTGGCACAATGTGTTAAATGTGTAATAATGTCTAACATATCCACCCGGGGAGGAAACGGTTTGAGATTCTTTGAAAAGCACTATATAAGTTGAATAAATTAGAATTACAATAATAATAATATTATTATTATTATTGACTTCATCGAGATTGTTTATGTTGTGAGTGGTATCCTCCTATGAGCATTGAAGCATCTACAGTAGGGCTGTAGATGCTTTAATGGTGAATGTCTTCTTGAGAAATTGCCAAAACAATTCAACATGCATGATGTGCCAGTGTCACAAAATTCTTTGAAGAACGCTCACCTCAAGAAAGTTCCATGAAATTCTTATTTCTAGAACCCCATACTCGATACTTTTCTGTCTTGCCTCCGCAATATTGTTTCCTTCATGTCCGTGGCGCTTGCGGTTGCTGAGCAACAGGCGTCTCTCCTGCAATATGACGTGGCAATTATTAACCAGAGCAATTCTACTAATAATAATGAAAATGTATTCAACTTTTATAACGCTATTTATTACATAAATAAGTTTAATACGCTTTAAACATAGCCAAAAAAACAAGCAATGTTTTTTAAATGGAAGGTCATGAGAGGGTCAGGAAAGTTAATGTCTTACATTTAAGGCATTTAGCACACCCTCTTATCCAGAGCGACTTACAGTTAGTGAGTGCATACATTATAAAAATAAAAAAATCATACTGGCCCCCCATGGGAATCGAACCCACAACCCTGGCGTTGCAAACGCCATGCTCTACCAACTGAGCTAAATCCCTGCTGGACATTCCCTCCCCTACCCTGGAAGATGATGGGCCAATTGTGCGCCGCCCCATGGGTCTCCCGGTCGCGGCCGGCTACGACAGAGCCTGGATTCAAACCAGGATCTCTGTGCCACTCGGGAGAGTGTCTTGAGTGGTCATCAGAGGAAGGAGGTCAAAGGGGGAAAGCAAGCAAAGATGGTCGCTGAAACAAGCCAGGGGCAGGCAGGCAGCATGGTGTCTAGCTGTCCTTGCCATCTGTGTGGCTTCTCCATAGTAGGAATCAGATGAAGTTAGAGCTCAGCCAATTTTGAGGGGTGATACAGGCCAAATATAATCCTAGGCAAATCAAATCAATTTTTATTTGTCACATACACGTGCTTAGCAGATGTTATTGCGGGTGTAGCGAAATGCTTGTGCTTCTAGCTCCAACAGTGCAGTAATAACTAACAAGTAATATCTAACAATTTCACAACATATACCCAATACACACAAATCTAAGTAAGGAATGGAATTTAAGAATATATACATATATGGACAAGCAATGACAGAGCGGCATGGACTAAGATACAGTAGAATATTATAGAATACAGTATATACATACGAGATGAGTAATGCAAGATATGTAAACATTATTAAAGTGACTAGTGTTCCATTTCATAAAGTGTCCAGTGATTTCAATAGGCAGTAGCAGCCTCTAATGTGCTAGTGATGGCTATTTAACAGTCTGATGGCATTGAGATAGAAGCTGTTTTTCATTATCTCGGTCCAAGCTTTGATGCACCTGTACTGACCTTGCCTTCTGGATGATAGCGGGGTGAACAGGCAGTGGCTCGGGTGGTTGATGTCCTTGATGATCTTTTTGGCCTTCCTGTGACATCGGGTGCTGTAGGTGTCCTGGAGGGCGGCTAGTTTGCCCCCGGTAATGCGTTCGGCAGACCGCACCACCCTCTGGAGAGCCCTGTGGTTGCGGCCAGTACAGTTGCCGTACCAGGCGGTGATACAGCCAGACAGGATGCTCTCAATTGTGCATCTGTAAAAGTTTGTGAGGGTTTTAGGTGCCAAGCCAAATGTCTTCAGCCTCCTGAGGTTGAAGAGGCTCTGTTGCGCCTTCTTCACCACACTGTCTCCGTGGGTGGACCATTTCAGTTTGTCAGTGATGTGTACGCCAAGGAACCTGAAGCTTTTCACCTTCTCCACTGCGGTCCCGTCGATGTGGATATGGGGGTGCACCCTCTGCTGTTTCCTGAAGTCCACGATCATCTTTGTTTTGTTGACGTTGAGTGAGAGGTTATTTTCCTGGCACCACACTCCCAGAGCCCTCACCTCCTCCCTGTAGGCTGTCTCGTCATTGTTGGTAATCAAGCCTACTACTGTTGTGTCGTCTGCAAACTTGATGATTGAGTTGGAGGCGTGCTTGGCCACACAGTCATGGGTGAACAGGGAGTACAGGAGGGGGCTGAGCACGCTCCCTTGTGGGGCCCCAGTGTTGAGGATCAGCGAAGTGGAAATGTTGTTTCCTACCTTCACCACCTGGGTGCGACCCGTCAGGAAGTTCAGACCCAGGGCCTCGAGCTTAATGATGAGCTTGGAGGGTACTATGTTGTTGAATGCAGTGGCACTGTGTTATCCTCAAAGCGGGCGAAGAAGGTGTTTAGCTTGTCTGGAAGCGAGACGTCGGTGTCGGCGATATGGCTGGTTTTCCTTTTGTAGTCCGTGATTGTCTGTAGACCCTGCCACATACGTCTCGTGTCTGAGCCGTTGAATTGCGACTCCACTTTGTCTCTATACTGATGTTTTGCCAGTTGAATTGCCTTGTAGAGTGAGTAGCTACACTGTTTGTATTCTGCCATATTCCCAGTCCCCTTGCCATGGTTAAATGCGATGGTTTGCGCTTTCAGTTTTGAGCGAATGCTGCCATCTATCCACGGTTTCTGGTTAGGGTAGGTTTTAATAGTCACAGTGGGCACAACATCTCCTATACACTTCCTGATAAACTCAGTCACCGTTTCAGTTTATTAGTCTAAATTATTTTCGCAAGCTACCTGGAACATATCCCAGTCCGCGTGATCAAAACAATCTTGAAGCGTAGATTCCGATTGGTCAGACCAGCATTGAATAGTCCTTAGCACGGGTACTTCCTGTTTGAGTTTATGCCTATGGGAAGGGAGGAGCAAAATGGAGTCGTGGTCAGATTGCCGAAAGGAGGGCGGGGGAGGGCCTTATAACCATCCCGGAAGTTTGAATAACAATGGTCGAGGATTTTAGCAGCCCGAGTACAACAGTCGATATGTTGATAGAACTTCGGCAGCCTAGTCCTCAAATTTGCTTTGTTAAAATCCCCGCCTACAATAAATGCAGCCTCAGGATATGTGGTTTCCAGTTTGCATAAAGTCCAGTGAAGTACTTTTCTCTCCAAAACTCTTGAGCGTGCCGTCTTTAGCCAACTCTCTTGCTATCTCTCTCAGAATGACCTTCTTGATCCAAACCAGTCAGGTTTCAAGACTGGTCATTCAACTGAGACTGCTCTTCTCTGTGTCATGGAGGCTCTCCGCACTGCTAAAGCTAACTCTCTCTCTCCTCTGCTCTTGTCCTCCTCTCCACCCTCTCCGAGTTGGGCATCTCCGGCCGGCTCACTCTTGGATTGCGTCCTACCTGACCGGTCGCTCCTACCAAGTGGCATGGCGAGTATCTGTCTCCGCACCACGTGCTCTCACCACTGGTGTCCCCCAGGGCTCAGTTCTAGGCCCTCTCCTATTCTCGTTATACACCAAGTCACTTGGCTCTGTCATATCCTCACATGGCCTCTCCTATCATTGCTACGCAGACGACACACAACTTATCTTCTCCTTTCCCCCTTCTGATAACCAGGTGGCGAATCGCATCTCTGCATGTCTGGCAGACATATCAGTGTGGATGACGGATCAGCACCTCAAGCTGAACCTCGGCAAGACGGAGCTGCTCTTCCTCCCGGGGAAGGACTGCCGGTTCCATGATCTCGCCATCACGGTTGACAACTCTGTTGTGTCCTCCTCCCAGAGTGCGAAGAGCCTTGGCGTGACCCTGGACAACACCCTGTCGCTCTCCGCTAACATCAAGGCTCTACAACATTCGGAGAGTACGACTCTGCCTTACACAGGAAGCGGCACAGGTCCTAATCCAGGCACTTGTCATCTCCCGTCTGGATTACTGCAACTCGCTGTTGGCTGGGCTCCCTGCCTGTGCCATTAAACCTCTACAACTCATCCAGAATGCCGCAGCCCGTCTGGTGTTCAACCTTCCCAAGTTCTCTCACGTCACCCCGCTCCTCCGCACACTCCTCTGGCTTCCAGTTGAAGCTCGCATCTGCTACAAGACCATGGTGCTTGCCTACGGAGCTGTGAGGGGAATGGCACCTCCGTACCTTCAGGCTCTGATCAGTCCCTACACCCAAACGAGGGCATTGCGTTCATCCACCTCTGGCCTGCTGGTCCCCCTACATCTGCGGAAGCATAGTTCCCGCTCAGCCCAGTCAAAACTGTTCGCTGCTCTGGCACCCCAATGGTGGAACAAGCTCCCTCACGACACCAGGACAGCGGAGTCACTCACCACCTTCCGGAGACACTTGAAACCCCACCTCTTTAAGGAATACCTGAGATAGGATAAAGTACCCCACCCCAAAGAAAGAAAAAAAATAAACATATTGTAAAGTGGTTATCCCACTGGCTATAAGGTGAATGCACCAATTTGTAAGTCGCTCTGGATAAGAGTGTCTGCTAAATGACGTAAATGTAAATGTAAATGTAAGTTCTTTGAGGGCCGTCGTGGTATCGGCTTGAGTGGGGATATACACGGCCGTGACTATAACCGAAGAAAATTATCTTGGGAGATAATACGGTCAGCATTTGATTGTGAGGTATTCTAGGTTGGGTGAACAAAAGGACTTGAGTTCCTGTATGTTACTACAATTACACCATGAGCCGTTAATCATAAAACACACACCTCCGCCCTTCTGCTTCCTGGAGAGATATTTATTTCTGTCTGCGCGATGAACTGAGAACCCGTCTGGCTGGACCGATTTCGACAGAATATCCCCAGAGAGCCATGTTTCCGTGAAACAAAGTATGTTACAGGCCCTGATGTCTCTCTGGAAAGAAATCCTT